GCAGCTGTATGGGGGTTGTTATGAGGACATCACATCCTGGCGGTCCCCATCGATGGCTTGTCTAGCCAGTCCGTCAAGATCATAGCTGGACGAAACCATAAGAGGGCTGCTTTATGTTTATTTGATTATTAGTAAGGTCGACCCTTTAAAAATCTTTTACATTTGTATTTATTTTGGTAATTCTGTTCACATGTATGCTAGAACTTGCTAGTTGCTTTTCAACATACATTCTCCCCTTCTTTCTTAGTAACAAACCGAATTTTCAGCTGAGCCCTTTGCCAGCCAACTAAAAGATGATGTGTCCCGGGCTTCCTTGCTGCCAGGTATGGCCATGTTACTGAGTTCTGGCCAGTGAGATGTAAGTGAAAATATCATCTGGGACTTCCAGGAAGTCGCCTGAAAGGGAGAGGGGTACCCTTCTATTCATTCTGCCTTTCTCCAGCCCACTTTCTTAAATGAGGGCACAATGACTAGAGCTCAAGCAACCAACATGGACCGTGAGAACTGTGCCCTAGGGATGGAGCAGAATGAGCTAGAAGAAGCATATGTCCCTAATGACTCCTGGAGCCACCATACCAGCCCTGGACTGACACCTCTGGATTTCTTTTCTTTCTTTCTTTCTTTCTTTCTTTCTTTCTTTCTTTCTTTCTTTCTTTCTTTCTTTCTTTCTTTTCTTTCTTTCTTTCTTTCTTTCTTCTCTTTCTTCTCTTTCTTCTCTTTCTTCTCTTTCTTTTTTGTTAATGTGAGAGAGAAATACACTTCCATCTTATTTAAGCCAGTGTTGTCTGTTATATGTAACTGAACTAAATTCTAACTAATACAAAATGCTCTGTTTCTCTGCTGGAGCATGTTTTTTTTCATTACTGATCTGTATCTTTATATAGGAAGGATATTTTCTCTGTAAATGTAGTGATTATTCTCCCCATTTTTGCTTGCCTTTTGAGTTTATGAGTTTTGTTTTTAAAGCATAGTTTTTTTAAGGCTAAAATCTCTAGAGTTTTAAAATGCTATTGCTCTCATATTTGAAGTCTTTATTCAGATCAGATAAATATCCACCAATGTTTTTCTAGAGATTTTTTTTTTAATGATTCACTGTTTATACTTAACATTTCATCCATTGGTGAGTGCTGTTGGTCAGTTTTGAATCTCTTGTAGGTCATGAGTTTCTAGCCCCAAGTAGTCTCCTGAGCTGTAGGACAGGAACCAGTGTTACCTCTCGTGCCCACCATCTGTCCCGGCCTGAGCCTCCTGAAGGCCAGCACACTAAGCACACACACTCCCTCCTGTGCCTTCTCTCACTCTGGGCTGCTTCTGGGACTTCGGTCTTCACCATCCTATGTTCAGCTCTATTCCAGCTCATCTCAAATTCTTATTTACCTAGACCAGGCCATTGACAGATTTCCTAACTATCCCACTTTTTAAAAGTATTTTTTCTCTGGAAAGGCCATATGAAGAATTTTTATATCTTTTTCTAAGTAGACGTGGAGCTTTTTTAATTAAAATTTTTTTCTGATAAGAGAAATGAAACATGTGCATCATCTAGAAAATCAGAAAATATGGAAAAGCCCCCAAACAAAATAAAAATAAAAGCCAGAAACTCTCTATTACTGCTACTTTATAAAAACACAAAACATAGCCTTGTATGATGACAGATGGTAGCTACACTTGTGGTGAGCCTAGCGTAACATAGAGTTATTGAATTACTGTGTTGTATCCCTGAAACTAACATAATACTCTTTGTCGACTCTACTCCAGTTAAAAAAAATGCATCGAGTAAAAAGTGAAATCCCTACCACCTCAAGAAGTAACCTCTATCAACAGTTGGAAGTATCTCTTTCCAGGCTTATTTATACAAACAAATGTAAAAGATACATATGTGCACAGTCTTGTTCATGAAAATTCCATCATGCTGTATACTTGTTCAGCAGCTGGCTTTTTATTTTTTTTATTTATTTTTTTAAAGATTTTATTTATTTATTTATTTTGAGAGAGCGAGAATGAGAGAGAGAGAGAGAGT